CCAAAGCCATGCAAGCTAAAGTGGGACAACGTGATACAAACTTCAGAGAAGTTACCTCACTCATCTGTGGACAGTCTTCATGCCTGTTACTATGTGGGGCACTCAGAAAGATCACCAGACACATTCAAACTGCAGACTAGGAACACCTATCAGATGTTTTGGGCTCAGCATCTGGAAGTCTTCTAGACTAGCTGCCTTCAGAATTTAGTAACTGGGATTATAATCTGCTTCAATCATTAACCTTTGTTTTTTCCCTTTTGTTTCCATAAAGATGGCTTATATTAAATACCTGATGCAAATACTTGTACCACATGGGCCTAACTTGGGGAAACTGCCTGCATCACCACATCTTGAAATAAGACACAACCCTTTAACTGAGCTGACCTAGTCTCAGGACTAAGAGACTGGTTCAATGAGATAGCGAGTAATCTACCAACTCAGGACAGATTCAGACCTATTTACACCAGATGGCCCAAGATGTTAAAACATTCCACAATTTTACCAGTCTTTGAACAGATTCCCAGGGTCCCTAAGATCACTGACCTATTTTCATGGCTGGACCTTTCAAGGTTGGGACAATGGGTATGGACAGGATTTCAGACTACTGCCTGTATAATTATAGTTTTTACTACTTTAATCCTATTTACATGTGCAATTTCTGGGTTACAGCATGCCCTACACCTGACTTTTAGCATATCAGCTACCTAGGCCATCAAAGGCCTCACCATTGACTATGAAGCTTCCGCATCGCAGGATGGATTGTCATGTAAGCCCTGACAGTTGGCTTTTCTTTTTGCAATGCAAATGCCTGACTTCAGCTTTGATTGCCAAGGCATCACTTCAAAGAGGGTTATCTTGAATAAACACATTGCCAGCCACACGACCAAAGAGCCAGGACACCTGCACCCTCCCTCCCCACCCCACCAGGAGGCTCCGTTGCGTAGAGACGGTCGACTCAGGTAACTGGCCACTTGAGTCGCCCGTCTCTTCTTTTTCTTGTGCTTTAAATTCCTGTTCTCATGTTTTAAATTCGCCAATAAAGAGAGAGCCCATGAAACTCTAGGCTCCCACCCTCAATCCCGATTAAAGCAGAGCCCCAGGCCTGTGCTGACTGTCTCTCTCTCTCCCTGCGACCCCACTGTGTGCCCCAAGGGCGTGCCTTGTACGTGCCAGGGCTTGTAAATAATTCGCTTGTTTTTCTTCACAGTTTCCAGGTGGCTATTGCTGAGGCTGTCTTGCAATCATAATAAAAGCACAAGGGTCAGGCCAGTGCTAACACTGGTTTGGAAAAGGGAGATGTCCGTGGGAAGCTCACCAGGGCCCAGGTGAGTTGCCCCAAGAATTTCCAGCCAACAGTATTACCATTGATAGGCTGAGACCTGAGCAAAACATTCTCTTACTTTGCTTTCTAGTTATTTCTACACCTTTCGACTCCCTTACCTTGTCAGTACAGTGCTGAGGTAAATACTTAAAAATGACTAGTTGACTTGCTCTGCTGTTTGTTTCTGAAAATCTGTCAGGTTCCTGCCCAGCCTGGATGATAATGTGGGTGTGTGTTTGCTGGAAATGATGGTGGCAGACACTGCAAGGAGGGGAACTGCAGACTTTGAAATTAGAATAAGGTTCTCTGGCATCCATAATCTGACAACAGTACGATTCCGTGACCAGCCTAAACATTGGGGGGAATCTCAGGTAGGCATGAGGCTCTGATCTGACTCCTAAAACTCCGGTCACTATGATGCGTCCATAAAAGCCCCTTACTTGCATGACAAGACTTACAGGTGTTTTAGGATCAGAGCCGCCTGGTTTAGAACCTACGATCATCTTTGGCCAATCCCTTTCCAGGTTGGTTCAGGACAAGGCTAGCGTCCGGGAGATACTGGATGGGAAGAGTTCTTTCCAGACTATTCTTTCATGGCATGTGGCATTTTTTTCAGGTCCCACATCAAAGTGGTTAAATTTCTATCAGTTTCTATGTAGTGCACAACAAGACTGTAAGACTGACTGGTAAGAAGTCAGTACAGGATACTCGCAGGCCTGGTCCAAGGGTTTTTTATGCCAGCATCTTCTAGAAGTCATTTCACGGTTAAGATCTGGGTGACAGTGGCAATTTTCTGACAAAAGAGTCACAATTTGGGTACATGGTACCTTTGTAAAGATCTCCTAGTAGGTTAAAAAAAATGATGATGATGATGAAAGGTACAAGGAAAAAGAAGAGATGGGAAAGGTCATTATGTAAATTTATGCAGGGAGATCAGTTCTCCAGTTCTTGCAACTGCTTGAGAAGGACCGTGCCTGGACACCCTGCATTTCTAGAGAGGTAGTGACGAGCACCGCTGGGCAGCCCGAGGTCAACTCAGACGTGCAAATAGGAGCTAAGGTGGTGCTGGTTGAGGAGAACAGGCTACTCCTCCAGAACAGAAGAATGGACAATGAAGGGCAAGAACAGTGGAAAGGCATGATGCTTCGGGAAAACTGTTTGGCTCATCTCTATAGAAAGACAACCAGAGAACGAACATAGGAATATATGTACGTACGTGCAGGACTGGGACATTGCGCTGTACACGAGAAATTAGCACATTGTAACTGACTGTACTTCAATAAAAAATAATTTAAAAAAGAAAGACAACCGGTGATGACAAAACAAGTCATTTCTGAGGGTCAGACAGAAATTTATTTTTTAATACTAATTGACATTTTCACACTGAAAGTTCCAAGGCAGTGGTTCTCAAACTTGAACAAGCACCCGAATCACAAGGAGGGCTGCTGAAACATAAAGTGCCGAGGCCCTCCCCGAGACCTGCTGACGTAGTAAGTCTGGGAGAAGGCCCCAGAACTTGTGTTTGTAGCAAGTTCCCAGGTGATGCTCATGCTGCCATCTGGGGACCACATTTTGAGAAGCACCTTTCTAAGGCAAGAGTACATGAAATTGCTGGCCTGAGAAATTTTAGGATCCCAGGAATATGACTTAAAGAACTGGCTTAAAAACAAAAGTCCTGATCACCTCACCTCTCCTCCCCCAAATAAACAAATCAACAAAACGAACTGAAAAATTTCAACAACAAATGATACCATACAGAAACTCTTCCGTCAGAGATATTTAAAGGTAAATTCATTTGTGAGCAATGGGGGAACTCCTAATGTGTTTCCTAGAGACCAACCCTGGACAACAGTGTAAATCTGCTGTCAAATTCTTTACCAGAGGCCTAGGCATCAGCATGGCACCACTTCTGCATTTTTTTTCTATAGAGTGATCATGATGCAGCTCGCCAAAGCTCACGTTAGGCGCAAAAACATACACGAGCTGCTGAAGATGCTGCTGAAGATTCTGCCGAGGTGAGGTGAAGCCTCAGTAATTCTGTAAATGTTTCCCTTCCCTCCAATCTTTCACATCCCTGGAGGCCTCTCCCGGGGCCTGGGGTATGGAGAGTCTGACGAGACTCGACTATCAGATCCCTAGCTCATAAAGGCCACGTCGGATAAAAGGCCCGCTATACGAACCACAGACACGTCAGCTGGGTAAGCAGATAAACAGAGCGGCCCACGACAAACTCTAGCAGACAGTCCATGCATCTGAGCTAAAAATAAGAAAGGGATTCAGGAATCAGAGAAGAAAACATTTTTAGAAAGAGATTTTATTGCATAATTTCTGTATACAATAAACATAGGAAAAGGGTTTTTGATGAAAATTTCATGTCATTTTTCAAAAGTCTTGAATTGCTTGGAGAAAAGTTATTACAAAGCTATCTAAGGCAAAAATAGTATTCGACCTTCAGAACAAATGATAGCCCCTTTCATCCTATTCCATATTTAAAGCAAGGCATTTTCAATTCAGTTAACATGGAAAGGCTTTCAACTCGCTATATTATTTGTATTAAGAAGTTAAATGCATCTACAAAAAGTTTAAACACACAGAACTGTTCTCTAACACAATATATACTATTGCGTTCTTCAGATCCAGTCTACGTGAGTGTATGGATGTACTTTTTACACACCACCAAAGAAACCTGCGTCTCCTAATGGTACAGCGAGGGCTGGAGTGCAGAGAGGGAAGTCCCATGCATTTCCTATGTTAAATGGCATAACTCCCACAGATCACATACACCTCGCCATATTGACTCAGTTCATTGCACTCCATATCCTGCAAAAATAAATCTAGTGCTCGACAGCTGACATTATTGCTCACTTACGTTTTAGTAATATATTTCTTTAACATAAGACAGAAGTATACTGAAATTTGATACCACTTAAACTCAAAAGCAATCTGAAATTAAACCACATGCATACACCTCACTTTCTTTCTTCAATGGATGTTGCATTTTTCTTAAAGTTGATGCTGGAAAATGTGGTAGAAGAAAAACTGGCTTTCCTTGAAACATATATGAAGCATTAGAAGAGGAGCTTTTTGAGGGGCATGTTAAGCCCTACGATAAAACTGGAGGAACAATGAGAATCCAGAGTCTCTGGGGAGCAGGAGAAGGCCCTCGTTATCTTCCCTGTCTACCCAACACTGTGGCTAGCGTCCAGCGGGGCAGGCTGCCACACAGAGCTGGAGCCACGTGAGACGTGCTGTGTGAGCCTGTGAGGGACGGACTGCATGCTGTGACAGGACCATCCTGAGAGACCCACTTCTTTAGGGATCCTTGGGTCGCTGGGAAACGTTGGGATTCGCTCCGTGAGGTCGGGAAAGACTTCTAGGATAGTCTGAATGCTGAGGCTTCAATTCAATTCTTAAATTTTCCATCTCTTTTCTAGAGGGGCTGACACCTGCCCATTGCAGAGTGACCCCAGAGCCTGAGGTGAGACATCTGGGAGCCGAGGGAAGAAGAGCATAATGCATCTGGAATCCCTAAGCTGTGTGTAGCCCACGTGACAATGAAGCATCGCCAGGATGCCAGGACCTCACCAGGAGGTGTTTGTAGAGACATAGAAGGATATGGACATGACCACACTGACATTTTGATTGGTCACAACTTTTCATTTTAGTTTCTCATTATTTCTTTAAAATTGTTGAGTGTTCCTTCTTTTTTTTTTTTTTTTTGTTCTTGGTGCTTATAGGGAAAGATGTCTGTTTTTATAAGCTTTCAAAGATTTACAAAAATATTATTTAAAAAAACACTACATCTCAGGATGAGCATTCAAGGCTACAAACACAATATACATCAGTCACAAACTGTACCTTCACACCTGGCTGCAGTGTGTCAGCACTGCTCAGAGCTGTGAAAACCTTGCAGTGCACAATGACATCCATCCCACCAGACTAAATGTTTCATGGCAGTCGAGCTGAGCTTCCTAGAGTAAAACTAGCCATATTGCTACAAAGAAAAATTTCTGGCTCTTGGCCCAACTGTTTCCATACCAGTCAGCTAAGTCAGCCTCCTCTCTGCTTCTTTCCATTTCAAATGCCTGGGCTTTGCTCTGAGGCAATTAGAACCAGATAGGTTTAATTTTACAACACTGATCTTAACTGTATAGCAATATAGCAATTTTCCCCTGAGAGTGTCAATTATTTCACAAATATTGTAAGTCCAAGTGTATACATAACGAACAGGCATGAAGAGGCTAGACAGCTTGTCCCTGGTCACGCAGCAGATTAGTGTCAAGGGTGGGACTTGAGCTCCTGGCTGTTTCTGTTTTAACCACCAACATCCTTCCAGAGGTCACCTGACCCTGCGCACCAGGTCCTCCCGCCCCTTCCCTTTGTGCTCCGTTTGTTACTTGCAGTGTCTTGTCAGCTCTTCTGCAGAGTGCGGGACGTCTAAGGACCCGGGGCTTCCTCCTTGGCCTTCTCTGCTCTCTCATACTTCTGCCGCCTTGATGAAGTGGGTTGTACCCAATATTTTATTACACACAGGGAATTCACCAAACGCTCTTCCAGCTGCAGCTGGCGTTAGAGTGGAGGGACAGACTTACAAAAGGCATCGGCCGGTGTTCTTCTTCGTGAACTTTGGACAAAAAGGGGCTCGATACTTTACAGTCGCCTTACCTTCCACTGTTTTCCATGAAAAATAAAATAAAGGCCTACCCATGAGGTAATGTTTACTTCTCTGCCACAACGCTCAGTGCACCCTCTCAGGTCTGGCAACAATTTAACATAAGGAAAGACTTTAGACCTTCACACCCTTTTAGTGAGAATAAATGACCTTAGCTCAAACTTTCCACAAGGCAGAGAAGTCTCATAAGATATCACTCCATCCTTATCTTAGGTGGATCTGCACAAATGCCTCCAGGCCATGTGTCTTGCAGGTCTCAACACCCTGCATTCCGAGCCCTGGTCTCTGCATTGCAGAGGAGACCTGGATTTTCATGTTTGAAGACCTAGCACCTTCTGCCTCTTCAGCAAGGAGAAAGAAATATATACATATCAAAAGAAGCTATGTGGACGAAGAGAATAATGCCAAACGGTAATTAAGTGGCTTGTGAGGAAGTTTCACAAAGCTATCTCCGAGGTTCACTAAAGTTATAAACTGTTCCCGATCTAGTCAATACCAAAATGCATTGATGGCCAGGGCCTCTGTTTAAGCAAAAGAAGAAAAATATTAATAGCATAAAACTGCCCTTCTATTTTTGAAAAAATATATCTGAGATAGGCGACACTGAATTTGCTTTCATAAAGCTGGGCACTAAGCACGCGTGCTGCCATCACTTTCCGTCCCTCTACAGCTCCGTTTTGTCGGCCTGGGCCGGGCTGCCCACTGCGCTGCCTCCCGCGGCGCCGCTGCTATCTGCAGGCGTGAAAGACAAGGAAGCCGAATTTATGCAGTATCTTTTGCCGGTAGGACGAGGTCCGTCGTCAAAAATGTGCCCGAGGTGAGCCCCACACTGAAAGAGACGAGCAAAACATAAGCCAACAGTGTGCACAAAGCAGGCTTTGAGGGGATCCCGCATTCCGCAGCTTAAATGGATGGCCAGCCTATAGAGAAATGATGGAAACCATCGCGGATGATTTCTAATCCGCCTGTCAATAGCTGCAATGATGGCTTCTGGCAGGCTTTGCACCACATGCTGAGAATAAAAAACACCAGAATTGTGCATATCAGAAATCATTTAGGAGCCACTGTATTTTTTGATCTGTGAAGCCACTCAGCCAGCTGAAAAATGACTGCAGTAATTTTATGAATTGAGTTGACCCTTGATCTCCCTTTGTAAGAAACATGGCAGAATAAAATCTTTCCCCCTGGCACTGCTTTTGCCTTTGGATGGGTCGGTTTCAGATATGCAGAAGTCCACTGTAAAAGATACTGTTTAACTGGCCATGACGGAGGTGATGTTTGCTTTCATGGGCAGTAAAACTTAGCATCAGACAAGCATTGGATGTTCTTGGAACCCAGCAAAGCAACGCAAGGCTCAGTAGATTTATGTTATGGTCACCAGGACTGCGGTGTGGCAAATGAGAATGTCACTAGTCCATGCAATGTTTTTTTTTTTGACTTCCAGTAGGCGGAGTGCCATGCGGGCTCCTTCACCCACACAGACTGGATCGTGTGGAGAAGGAATAAGCTGTCGAGCTCAATCCATGCTACTGACTGTCCAAAAAGCTGGGGAAGGAGGAGAGGCAGATAATCCAGACAGAAGCAGAAGAAGGGATGGTTAGTTATGCTGGCATTTGAGAGAAATCCAGCCCAGAGAAAGTGTCTCCAAGAAGGCTGGCTCGCTGAACAGAGCCCTGCACCGAGGAGTTTGCTGTAGGGGACAGCCCCAGGGGACAGCAGCACAGCTCACGTAGCTATCTCCCACCCTTCCTCTGCAGGGACAGCAGTGAAGGATATGGGGACATTAGTGCACCACATTCAAACAGGCTGTGAAAACACATTGTTCATCGTGTAATGAAGAAACCAAAACTTGGGGCAAATGACCCCCATTCATTCATTTTGCAATATTTATGGAGCACCTGCTACATGCCAGGCACTGTCCCAGACTCTGGAGATCTAGGCAGTGGCCTCACGGAGCTTACATTCTAGTGGGTGAGGCACACATACAAAGGAAATAAGGAACTGCAAAGTATCATAGGTGGAAATAAATGCTAAGGAGCAAAAAAAAAAATAAAAAATAAAAAGGAGGGATACACAGTGAGTGAGGGTTGGGGGCTGGCATTTTAGGTGAGGTGGTCGGCAGTGGTTTCCTGGGTGACTCTGGGATAAGAACCTGAAGGAAGCCAAGGGGCGGATATGTAGGGCAGAGCGTTCCGCGTCAAGACTTAGGGGAGAACATGAGGGAGGAAGCATATAAATTACTTATTAATTCTTCTCACTGTGCTTGTTTGGTGTATGAAACACTTACAAATTGTGGGGAAATAGAGTAGGATTTGAGAAGGGGGGTGTTCTGCCCCCTCCACACCAGATGGAGATGATGCGAGAGAAGTGAGGGATGGTGCTCATTACGACGGAGAGAACTAGAATCTTGGTTTCCCCACTGAAAGTGCTAAACTCAACTCTCACAGGTTCTCTAGTCGTTAATAAACAGCTCAAATAGTCGCTTTGACTACATGGCACTTCCATGTTAAAAGTGCATTCTTATTTTACTGCCAACACACTGTGTCAGGTTATTAAAGAACTAAAAATGAACCCTGAACTGATTTGATCTATTGCCTGGAAAATATGAAACAGGCCTAAAAAACAAATCTTGCATTATTTTACCACATTTTATGCAGGTTTAGGTAATATCAAGGCTGACAGCTCAGATTGCTTTTCCTTTCTATAAACAATTGAGGCCAAATTTTCAGGCATCAGCGGCTAAGATGCACCAGTAAAAATACATATGCTTACCCAATGGACACAGGAAAACACTTATGTGTGCCTGCCAAAACAGTCAGCGTGCAGGCCCGCAGGAACTGGTGCGCTCGGTGACCAGTGTGTGTGCACAATTACTGATCTCACGTGCAGCTCCGGCACTTTGATCACTTGGCATCTGAGAGGTAGAGTTTTCACATAAAAGCCTCAGACAGGCATTTGGTTTTTTTTTTTTTTAATGAGAGAATACAGCTATCTGGGCAAAAATAAATGATATTGCATTTATTAATCATCTCAAGCATATTTAGAAAACAGTTCTATTTATTTACCTTACTCCCAAAATAAAGCAGAGTAATGGTATGCTTGAAGCCACTTAGTGGTATTCGTTTCTCAACAATTTTTTTAAAAATCCAAATTAGAGTAACTTAATCTGTTGAACTGACTTGGTTCTCAGTCTGGAGTTTCATGTGCTAAATCTGAAACTAGACTTTTGGTTAAACAGAAAGAAAAACACAGATGCTGGATGTCCCTAATTCAGGCCAAAGAAAAAGGGAGGGGGGTGAAGAAGAGACATTATAGTGGAAAAAAGGCAACAAAATCCTTTGCAAACAACTATGTGGGTTGGTGATGGGATAGGGAAATCCTCAGTGTGGGTGCGGGTCCCCTAAAAACAATAGTGATAGCTCCATCACGCTTGCACAAGGTGTTCTGGGACAGTCACACCAGGCTCACATAAGTGAGGGAGGAGCAACATTTCAAGACACAGCAAGGTGGTCATTTACATCTGTGCCACCACATACATGCCCACTGTGCTGCCTGCAAAGTTGCAAGGCCGTTGGTCTGAGGGAAGCCTAACCTCAGGGCAGCATTTCTGCTCCCCCTCCAAGTACACCCAGTCTCCTGTAAAATACTGTTACCCGGTTCATTTTAAAAACGCACAAGCCCCGAAAGCTCCTCCCTGAGGGGAACGCACATGGAGCCCATTCTTTCCAGCTTCTAGCCCCTGCGGAAGGCTGGGATGATGAATGAAAGTTGTCAGTGATGCATTGTTTCTTTAGCTGCCTGCGAGCTCTGCCTCCCCGGCCCCAGCCAACTGACAATGTGTTGGGAACTCTCGGCACACCTTGTTGTAACTGAAACAAACTGGTTGCCCGATAAAGAAATCTCTGAAACCTGCTGTTAATGATTTATTTCAGGGTAGAATCTTGGGTGTGCATTTTAAAAGTTGTTTAAAAATGGTTATGTATTTCTTTTACAAGTAAAATACAAACTGTGATCAAATATTCTAGCTCTCATTCTGAAGAAGCATGAGGTAATTGTTCAAAAGAAAAAGTTTAAATTTCCACCAGAATCCTTTATCACCCAAGCCTCCCTCTCACAAAAGCTAGCAAACTAAAGAACCTGCAGAGAACCAAGGGAAAGGACTCCCCCACCCAAAAAAAGTGATTGAGCATCAAATTTAACCTAATTCCTTAAAATCTGACTGCGATTCTCAATTGTGTGCCTAAGAAACAAAACAGTGCATTCAACACGGTTACGTATCTCTGCACTGATGTATTTCCAACTGTCCTAGAGGGTTTTCTCCCAGCTATTCCTAGGATGTTTTAGGGTTTGTTATTGTCATTTTCTCTTAAGTGTTTGATCTACAAGATGAAGCAGTTTCAAAGCAGGGCTTTTACACTTGGGCATATGGGGCAGGATGGGAAGGAGAAAAGAGTTTTAAGGAGAAAAGCAATTTGCTTTGCCAGTAGGATCCTGTTTTCTCCCACTGTTATTAAAGACACTTGTGCGTAAGTAGGGCTCTTTTCCTCTGCGCTGGTGATATTAATCTTTTGCCAAGGAAATGATTGTGAAGTCACCAGTTTAGCATTATGATTTTACTGAAAGATCAAGAAAAAGAGAGATGGGCTGCGAGTCTGAAACCCCCTTGTAACACATGGACATCTTTAATCATCAGCAATATATGACTTGTCATCTGCAAAAGATTAATAAGGTTTGGGGTTTTACCAAAAACTGCTCAACTCTTGAAAAATACTTTGCATTGGTGGATATTTACCTGTCCATTGATTTGGCTGACTTCAAACAAATCAATAATGATCTAAAACAAACTTAAGGGCCTCTACCACAGATTCAAACAGCAATAGCTGAGGTCATAAATAGATTCCAACTTGGGTAAACTCAGGGTTCTGATGGCTTCCTTAAAGATTATTACAAAAAGTTAAGTGATTTACTGGCCTCCCATTAGCTGCAGATATAAATTTTGATCTAAAGAAGGAAAAATTGCCCAAGGATTTCCAGGAGGGACTTTCCTTCGCGGAACTACAGCTTAAACCATGCACATCTTACCTCTTTGCACTGAATTTAAATTCCTGGCAAAGTGTTACTTAACAGGCTGGGGTTGGAGGATTAGGGAGAAACTGTCAAATAATTTATTCATAGTAGCCAGTGAAACTGGAATAGAAGCGATGTATTTTATCACTAACTAAAAAAATGTAAATTAAATAAAATTAAGGAAAAGTCTTTATAACTGAAAGTTGTTGGGAAATTGCTACAGTCAGAGGAAAGATACATATACCCACCAAAGTGGGCAAACTTAAGACAAAGATCCTCTTTGGAAGAGATAACTGGAATATAATTCCTCAACTCAGTAGGTAGAAGAGGAAAAGAAAGCAAACACAGTTGCAACAAAAATCAGAATGTAGCAGGGCAACATATTTCCTCCACAAGCAGGAACCCTGACGAAGGCAGTGAAGAACTGCCACCACTCCTGCTTGTCTTCTGTGCTGTTCACTTACACGTCGGGTGGTGAGCTAGGGTTATTACACAGCAATTCTTTTAGAAGGACCTGACTACAATATTCCTCTGAAAAGTGATTACAGAACTGAATAAATCTTAACTTTCTCAATAAAATTTTACTAAAATATTACTACCTAAAAAGTCACCGGGCACCTGGAAAAACGACAATGTAGTATAAAGAGGTGATGGGTATGGCTCCCAATGTGTTTACAACTTCTCCCCAAATATGAGGCCTAATTCACTGCATGGTGTGATGTACGTCACAATGAAGAAGAATGAGAGGAGAGGAGGAGAAAGAGGCATGGGGGAGAGGAGGAGGAGGAGGAGAAGGAAGGAGAATCCTAAGTACTAAAGCAAGAATTAGAGACGCATAGATCAAAAAATATCGCCATGTTGCCAGGCAGGCAAGGTGAGTCTATGGTTTCATCCACAGAAGCTTAACTGATTTGTGTAAGCTGGCAGTAAAAGGGTCTTCGTGTTCAGATGCTCCATCTTCACCACAAGGAAAGAAGCACTCCACATAACATGTCCGACGGAGAATGCCTCTGAGATCCTCACAGATTCTTCATAACACAGACCCCTTTGATGCAATTTAGTTTAGAGAATGGACAAGCCAGGTGAATTCACAATAAAATAAGAATTTTAGAATGAGGAAAACCAAATCAGAGAAGTTCCCCATACCATGTCACCGTCGAAAAGTTAAAAAAAAGATGGAAGAAGTTGCAAGTAGAAGTAAGAGAAGAGACTAAATAAACTGAAATAGAAGGTAAAAAAAAATAAACTGATGATGAAAAATAGTGTTAAGAATGAGAAACTAGGACGTCAAATACTTCCTAAAGAGTGGTTACTCTAAAGAGTATGGAAACCATTAAATCAGGTTTTTTTTTCCAAGTCAAGATAAAAAGGATGGATGAGAAAATGGAGAAGAGAAAACTAAAGAAAAATGTAAAACAAAAGGAAAATAAATGTCTGTGTCAAACACACAAATCAAAAGCCAAAGACATTGAAAGGGAAGATGCCCAGCACACTTCAGTTTAGTGAGCTGTTAGCCGCTGCACTGAGGGCCACACGTCTGCTCCGTCCACACGGGGACGAGTTCACCAAACATATTCTCGGGGGCTGGAACCCAATTATTTTCTGCGTGGTATTTACCTCTCGAAGAATGTATTTTCACACATATGCTAATGGAGCAAATTTCTCTCCCTCTTCTCTTTAAGACTTTTATTTAAGAAATGGTCAAATACTTCATAAATGTGAGAACTAAAGGTGGTGAAAAAAGAAGCCCAAAAGGAATGGGTCAGTCAGTGTCCGTCCTTCACCCAACAATTAGGAAAGGACCGCAGAATCCTAACAGTCATCTAGGCCTTTAACCAGAGGGCCAAGAGCTGTGCCCGGGTTAGCGCGGTAGTTTTCATGAACGTTGCCTGATCCGGGCACATTGTGTGGGTTTCATTTCTCTTTGGTCACCGTAGGACACCTTCCTAACGGCCTTTTCTTGACTCCTGCTGATGTTACGTCAGTGGCTGGCGCAGAGAAAGGGGGAAGCGTGTTCTCACTGTGAATGTGAAGAATCAGTCACAAAGATGTCAGAGAGAAGGGCCTTAAAGAAAGTTACTATCTTGGGCCCCATTTTTTCTGTGTCTTTTTTATTTGGTTTTCATAGAATTCAATGTTTGAAAGTGGGTTCTGAATGAAAAGGAAAGTCGCAGTCATGTAACAGCACTTAATGCAGCTTAAAAGAAAAAAGAAACCACCATTTAGCCTTAAGAGACGTTTACCAAGTACTATGTACCTAAGTTACAAATTACTATGTGCCATCCTCCCCAGTTGCTCTTTTCTCAAACATTTTAGATTCCTGGGTAGATACTCACAATTTGTTTTTGTGGCAGTTTTAAAAAAAAATCAATAAATATTCAATTGAATCCAAAACCGAACTGAATTAAACTAACTGTTGGAGGATCACAGGATTTGGGGGGTTTTGTTTTTTTCTTATTTCAGTATGACTCCTTATGGTGCATCTATCTATCAATCTGTCTACCTACCTACCTACCTACCTACCTACCTACCTATCTATCCATCTGAAAACTGTAAAGAACTCTGGAGCTAAATGCCCAAATTCAAGTCTCAGTTCTGCCACTTAAATCTATATAAATTCACCCAAGTGTAATTGCACTCCTTGTGCCTCAGTTTCCTCAACTGCAAAATGAGAGAGAATAACAGTGTCTGCTCACTAGGTTATTGTGGACACTAACTAGGGGGGCTTTTAAGAATTCTGATGTTCAGTCTCTACCCAGACAAATTAAATTAGAATCTCTGGGGGTGAGACCCACAATCAAAAAGTACCACTATCTTGCTCAGACTCATATCTGAGGAACAAGAGTGAACTGAAAATGTGATGTAAAATATAAAGTCTGCTTTTCAAGGGCGAGAGTGGCCCTCATACTTAGAAAAAATTAATTTGCCAACCTTATTTTTTAAAGAAAGAAAGAAAGAAAGAAAGAAAGAAAGAAAGAAAGAAAGAAAGAAAGAAAGAAAGAAAGAAACAAAGAAAGAAAGAAAGAAAGAAAAGAAAAGAAAAAGCAGAAATTCATCAGATGGTTAGATTCAAACCAATCTCCCTCCCTACTTGGTAGTAAACATGCCACCTACTCCCTGAACTCTTGGGCCCGATGGAGGGGGTAAAGGGCAGGTAGAAGAATGCTGAGGGAGGCCCCCGGGCAATCCCTTGGCTATCACAGCTGCCCGACGGTGCCCCCCTTACCGCTGGTATGTGCAACAGACATCCCCCAACACAGCACTCTGTGGTGCCGGTGAGTTTCAGTGCCACAGCACCCAGACCTCACGTGTCACTTATTTAAAGCATGTTAGAACAAGACAACCTACTCTAAAATGGAATGGGCAGTTGCTCTAATTCGGTGCACAAGGTTCTGGCTGTATCTCTGGGTGTAGGTACAAAAGCCCACAGCTC